TTGAGTGAAAAAAGTGTAAGTGTGGTTTCATTTCTGTAACTATTATAAACATATATCCAAAACATGATGAAAGATACACATCGCATACTGTTGGTGACACGTTTCATGTTGGTGTTGGAGGAGAAAGGAGAAATTACTTCTGTTCCTGGGCATATTAAGCAAAGAGACAAATTGTCAGCTGTGAGATTCCCAGGATCCATAAGCTGAAAGCAGGAGATGTCAGCTCTCTTAGCTCTTGAGGGGCCATAGCAGAAATTCCTCTCATGGGTGGTGTGTCCAACTATGTCATTGCTAAACCATGGTATGATTTCACCGTAGAAGAATCTAAGGTAAATCTGAGACTAAAGAACAGTGTAGTTTAAAATGCAATTTTCTGAGCGTCTGGCTTGATTTAGATGACATTTAGACCACTGAGAGGAAGGTGGGTTTAGCCGTTCTTCAGGGACTCCTCCATGACTTGGGGTCATTTACTTGCTCTCTTTGGTGCTTCTCAGCTGTTCCACATCCTGGTGTGCGTAGAAGATGTTAATATTTGCCAGCATACACTTAAGCTTGGAGGTTGCCTGCAGCTGGAAGAGATTGTTGCTGGGCTCCAGTTGCCCCAAGACCCCCTCCACCCCCTCCGAGCTGAGTGGGTCCATAGCTTCGCACATCTCTCAGCTCTTTAGGGAAGCTTGGATTCTAATTCAGAAGTTTTCTCAAGATGTCTGTATTGAGTGTAAATTTCCATTACCTTTTTCTTGTGTTTTGTACAGATGATAGTTTGTATATAGTTATGGAACTTATAGAAGGGGCCCCTCTTGGAGAACATTTCAGTTCTTTGAAGGAGAAACAACATCATTTTTCTGAAGAGAGACTATGGAAGATATTTATACAGGTACACTTTTATCTTCATTAACTTCTTCCATGAAACAGTGAAGTTCTGAGCTGATTGCCCACAGCCGAGTGTAGTGGTTATGAGTGGCTGTCTGTCTGTCTGTCTATCTATCTACATATATCGGGGCAGTGACATTTGTTTGTTATTTGCTGTTTGAAGCTGTGCTTGGCTCTTCGGTACCTGCACAAGGAGAAGAGGATTGTCCATAGAGACCTGACGCCAAACAACATTATGTTGGGGGACAAGGACAGAGTGACAGTCAGTAAGTAGAAACATCTTAACATTTTCCACTTGAGTCTGAATGTTACTCTAGGGCAGAGTTGTCCAGTAGAACTTTCTGCGCCACTGGGCATGTTCTAGATCTGCTTTGCCCAATATGGCAACCACTAGCCACATGTGGCTGTTGGGCACTTGAAATGTGGCCAGTGTGACTGAGGACCTGAATTTTCAATTCTGTTGAATTTGAATTAATTTAAATATCCCAGTGTGACTAGTGGCCGTTGTGCTGGGCGGTGACTAGTGTAGTTCTTAATGATTGAGTTATATTTTGCCCATTTGAGAGAATCAAGTAAATAAATAAAGAGAATAAAGTCTTGAGGTGCTTGAGCGTTTAATTCCCAGGTCAGTGGTTTCTAGGTTTTTCTTTCTGTGGAACCCTGCTTCACCAGCAGAGGCTCTTTTGACCGCCACCTGAGCACATTGCTGAACTCACTTAATGAAGTCTGTGACATACGGGTGACAGCTGTATGTATGGAGGCCTATAAACAATCCAGCCATTCGTGTCCTTCAACATTTTTTCTGTTGATCACAATATTTTCAACTGAAGCAGGTAGGCCTTAATGTTGTGTAAATATTTTCGATTTCTGAGACTCTTTGGCTTTAAGTGACGCAGTATTTTTTCTAGTTTCAAACAAAGGAGCAGTGATAAATCTCAGAACAGAATTTTACCCTAGTCCAGTTTCTCTCCACTAAAGCGGTTGTCTGCAGGGCACTGACGGGCTGCCATTATTTTCAACGAACATAAAATGATTTTATGACTGAGAAAATAATCCACAGAGATCTGACGTCACTATTTGAAAAAACTGGTTGCTGGGCAATTAATGAGGAGTAAGAACAGCTGGGAAAGAGTGAGTTTGTGAAGATTGTGACACGACTGGCAGAGAATTAGGCGAGGAAATTTAAGGTGCGATTTTAGGCATGCCAAGTCAGAAATGTGATTTTATCCTTTTCCTAGTTAAAATCCTTCAAGCAGCTCCCCCTGACACTGAAGATAAATTTTAGATTCCTGAGGGCACTCAAGACCCTTTCTTCCTGATCTCACTCCTGCCCTTTGCTCTGGACTCATGGGACAGATGGCTGTTTCCCGAATAGCCCAGGCTGTGGTCGTGTTCCTCGTGGCTTTCAGCATGTTTGTCCGGAATGCCCTTCTGCTGCTCAGTTCTAATCCCACTCTTCCAGGTGGCATCTTTGATGTCCGCACAACATCAGATGTGTTCTGAGTGTGGGCTCCTTTAGTCACTGGGCTTGCCTTACTCATAGTACATGAGACATTGGTTTCTTGACATCCTCTCCTTGAGGTAAGGGAAGCCAATTTCCTAGACTTTGTTCCTCTGGAAGCACTTAATAAATATTTATTGACTATATAGAAGAATACATGAACAAGTAAATGAATGAATTTTGAAATCTTGGGATGATAACCAAGACTGTGTGAAAAGAGTGCTTTAACACAGGAGGAACTGAAGATAAAGATGGAAATCAGGTCCATAAATGAAGAAAGATCCAAGCAGTTCCCACTGTCATCTCAGCAAACAGTGTCACCCAGAGGGACTGAAAGGAAGGATTTTACTTTCTTGTATACCACCAAAGTTTGAGAAATCAAATGAGAGCTGTCTTGTATGGCCAGCATTCTTGGCATTTTAACTCTTTCCAGAGAATTAGAAGACTTAAATCATTGTTGATGGGCTCAACTGCTGCAGAGAAGTCTGTGTCATTACAGGAAAAATGAGTTAGTCAGGTCTTGCCCCATCTTGCTTTGAACCTGTTCTGTAGTTTATTTCCTATTAATCAGATATAGTGTCTATTAGAGTTTGAGCTGGCACAGAACTTTGAGTGCCCTCAAAAGACTGCAGGATATTGAGTCACCTGTATTGCATACCCTCATAGCATCTATTGCTGGAGGAAGAGCCTTAGAATTTGTGGCATTTATGAAATTTCTCTCATGTTACTAAAAAAGCAAAAATATTTTCTGTTAAAGTCCATGGCAGCTTCCTTGTATTGCCATTGGGTTATGTAAAATGAAGAGATATTGAAGCAAATTCAGTCAAATCCAACTGCTAAAAAATGTTAAGATTAATGATTTTATGACTGTTGGTGGGTCATTGTGCAGTTCTGAAACTTGAATCAAGAAAAAGATGAGAACAGTAGTCTCAAGATAATTTGGCTATTCAGGGTCTTTGGTGGTGCCATAAAAATTTTAGAATTATTTGTTCTAGTTCTGTGAAAAATGCCTCTTTGTATTTTGACAGGGATTGCATTAAGTCTGCAGATTACCATGGGTAATAGGGTTATATAACAATATTATGTTCAATCCATGAGCACAGTAGATCTTTCCGTTTGTTTGTGTCATCTCAGTTTCTTTCATCAGTGTCTCATAGTTTTCTGAGTACAAGTCTTTCATCTGTTTGTTTAGATACATTCCTAGGTATTTTATTCTTTATGATGCAGTTGTAAATGGAATTGTTTTCTTAATTTCTCTTTCTGATAGTTTGTTGTTAATACATAGAATGCAACAGATTTCTTTATGTTTTGTATTTTGCAACTTTACTGAACTCATTTGTTAGTTCTAATGATTTTGGTAGCATTGTTAGGATTTTCTATATATAGTATCATATCATCTTGAAACAGTGTCTTTTTCCTTTCCAATTTGGATTTCTTTGATTTCTTTTTCTTGTCTGATTGCTGTAGCTAGAGTTTCAATACTGTGTTGAATAAAAGTGGCAAGAGTGGGCATCCTTGTCTTGTTCCAGATCTTAGAGGAAATTCTTTCAGCTTTTCATCATTAAGTAAATGATGAAAGTAAATAAAGACCATATGTTGTCTTTATTATATTGAAGTATGTTCCCTCTGTGCCCCTTTTGAGAGTTTTTATTGTAAGTGGATGTTGAATTTTGCCAAAAGCTTTTTCTGCACCTATTGAGATGATCATATGGTTTTCACTCCTTCAGTTTGTTAATGTGGTGTGTGGCATTGATTGATTTGTGGATGTTGAACCATCCTTGCATCCCTGGGATAAATTCCATCTGATTGTGGTGTATGATCCTTTTAATGAATTGTTCAGTTCTGTTTGCTAACATTCTCATGCATCTTCTGGAGCCTTGGCTTGCCTGGGAGTTCGCTTCCAAGGCGTCTCACCCGCATGGCTGGAACTCAGCCTCTCAGTCACCAGGATCACTCTTTTCTGTGTGGCCTCTTCAGCAGAATAGCTGGACTGTTTTCTGTGGGTTAGGCAGATATTTCTTAATCATAATATTAAAAACATAATATGTAAAAGAAAAGATTAATAAGTTAAACTTCATTGAAGTTTAAAACTTCTGTTCTATGAAAGATTAAAAGAATGAAAAAACAAGTTGCAGACTGGGAGAAAATATTTGCGGATCGTCTACCTGTCAAAGACTTCGTATCAATAGTACAAATAATAAAAAAAACCTCAATAATAGGAACACAAATGACCCAATAAAAATTTGTCAGATAGATGATCTGCAAATTTTGAATAAGCTCTTCATTAAAGGAGATACACAAATGGCAAGTAAGTACATGAAAACTGTTCAACACTGGTGGTCTTTAGGGACATGGAAATTAAAGCTATACTGAGCTATCACTACGTCCTAATTAAGATGCCTAATTAAAAACACCCTGACAACTCCAAATGCTGGTGAGGATGCAAAACAAGTGGAACTCTTATACATTTATGGTGAGAGCACATTGGAAAATATTGGCTTGCGGGTTTTTTTTTTTTATGAAATTAGACATATACTCATCAGAGGATCCAGTCATTCCACTTCGAGGAATTTGTCAAAGAGAAATTAAAAATTATGTTCACACAAAAACCTGTATGCCACTATTGCACTTACTTAGTCTTGAGTCTTGAGTAGGAATGGTGAGAGTGAACCTCCTTGCCTTCTTCTGTTTTTGTGTATCTTTGAGTCAATACTACCTTGTCCGAATTACTATAGCCTTATAATAATTCTTACTATACTACAGAAAACTCGGTTCTCTTTTGTATCAAACTCCACAGGTCCTCTTGGCCCTTTTAATTTCTGCATTAATTTATACTCAATTTGTGAAGTTCTACCCAAAATATGAAGAGCCACTTGATCAGAACTACATAACTTAGTTTAGGAAGAATGAAATCTATATAGTACTGAGAATCCCGATCCATGAACTCGGACTTCCTCTCCATTAATTTTAGTCTTCTTTAAACGACTCTGTGACAGAATTTTATATATTCCCTGCGTAGGTCTTTCGTGTCTTCTGTCATATTACTCCTAGGTATTTGTTTCCAAGCTATTGCACTTAATGTGCTTTCTTTCAAAAAAGGAAAAAGAAAACAAAAATTGTTCCTGACTTATTTTTAAAATTCAGTTAAGCAAGGCACATTAAACATGTGCTTATCTGACAATCTCTTCAAAGTATCTAGCAATATGTTAACAAGACTGCTGTCTCTTTTATTTCTCTTCTTTATTTTAATTGAGATGTAATTCACATAGGACGTTATGTTAGTTTCGGGTGTGCACCATAATGATTTGATGTTTGTTATGTACTGTGAAATGACCACCGTAAGTGTAGCCAACACCCAGCCTTGATTCTGATCTTATGGGAAAGGCAGGCAGCCGTTTAACACTGAGCAGGAAGTTAGTTGTAGGTTTTCATAGATGCCCTTTATCGGGTTAAGGAGATGTCTGTTTTCTACTTTGTTGAATTTTGTCAGACTTTTCTTATACAACTATTGAGATGCTCATCTGACTGTCCTTCTCTAATGTTCTGATCTGGTGAACTCTAGTATTGATTGATTTTTAAATATCAGATCAGCCTTGTACTTGTGGCATAAACCCGACTTGGTCATCATGTGTTGTCCTTTTTATATATCTCTGGATTTAATTGATTTATATTTTATTGGTAATTTTTGTTGATAATATTCTCATTGCAATACTGTTCTGTGGTTTTCTTTGGCTTTGGTTCAAGGTAGCATTGGCTTCATAAAATGAGTTGGGAAGTGTTCTCTCTAATATTTTCTGGTAGAGTTTGTGCATAATTGGTATTTTATCCCTGAAGTGTCAGGCTGAGTTTATAAATGAAATGATCTGGGCCTGATTTTTCTTTGTTGGCAGTGCAGTATTGTGTTTTGGTAAGGATTTTGGGCTTTAGAATTAAGCAACTCCAGATTCATGACGAACTCTGTTAATTTCTCCTTGTGAGGCTTTGGGCAAATCACTCATTCTCTTTGAGCCTCAGTTTCCTCATGTATAAAATGGGTGGTTGTGAAAATTAAATAGTGATAAACATCAGTTGTTCATCACTGTGCTATCCTACATTTGCATATGTTAACTTATTCAGAGTTTAGTATTATTTATTTCTCTCTATGTTATTAAAATCCTAATTTTACAGGTAGGAAAACTGTTGCAGAGAGAGATTGTATAACTTGCTCCGGGCTCCTCAGGTAGCACATAATGAAGCCACGATTTGAACTGAGGCCATGTGGTTCCAGAGTCCATGCCTTTAAGCACTAAGTGGCGCTAAGAACAACAATTCCTACCTTTCAGCATTGCTCTGGCTGTTAAGTCAGACAGTAGATGTAAGCATCTAAATTTGTGCTAGATCAAGGTTGTTTAGTAAAAGGGCATTGGTATTAATGTGAATTAGTATTATTTTGAAGTCAAGCTACTTCAGAATATTTTCAACCTGTCAAAGACATTTTAGTATAGATAAATAATTAAATGCTTTTTATTAAAAATCATTGATGCAATTCCATATATATTCAGTGCACTTAAAAAGTGACATTGTGAACATCAAACTTTAGTAGGAATAGCGACTTGAATTCTGGTTCAACACTGTCTTTTTGTGTAAATCTGGTAATCAAACCTCTTGAAATGTTGGTAAATCTGTGCAATGATAATAGGAAAACATCTCTTTCTACCATTTTGATCTGAGTTGTTGAGTGGCTTAAAAAACAGAAGTATTTGAAGATACTTTGAAAAGTATAGCTAGTGCTAATAGTAAATATAAATATTTAATGTTCTAATTTTAAAATTAGAATCCTTTGTTAATGTATAAGTATTTTGAGATGATTCTGAACATCATGTTTACGATGACTTCGTACACAAAGCTGCCATTTAATTTCAGGTTTTCAGACCTTCATGGTGATTGTTTAGGCTTACCATATTTGTTTAGTTTTTGGCCAGAAGAAGGGATGCCTGCCATATGCCAACACATTAGATTCATTTTATTTATTTGAAAATTGTAGGGGTGACCTAAAAAGTGGAATCACAGGTTCAGTACTTTTCCTATTTTTCAGTCAGTAAGACTTATTTTAGCTTTTTGAGGTGATGAGACTTCCCACGCCCACAGACACAGCGTAACGCTGTAATGTACGAGTGCCATTAAAGGAGTGGGTCAGAGGACTGGCACGTGGGGCGTTGTGACGGGGAAAAACTGTCTCTGTGAACTTAATAGTTTTTTGCACAGAATGTTAAAAGCTGAGGAACAATGCTAATTGCGGGAAAATATAATAAAATTGCTTTGTTTTTTGAATTGTAGCTGACTTTGGCCTGGCAAAGCAAAAACAAGAAAGCAGTAAACTTACATCTGTTGTGGGGACAATTCTGTATTCCTGGTAAGGACAATTATTTCATGGCTCTCAAACCTCATTCTTAACTGGTTTGGTCTTTCATTTCTTTTCTTGGGTTGCAAAGGAAAGACATTTATATATTTGACACATTTTTCTCAATTATCCAGGTAGTACACATGTATAGAGTTATTATGTGTTTAAAATACCATTTTCTTTCCCTTGAGGTAACTCGGCCCCTAATGGGGACTGATTTTATTGCTTGTAATTGAAATGATCCTTGGCACATAGTAGGTGTGCAAAAGTTGTTGAATGAACCTGTGAATGAACTAGTAGGCTTACTACGCAATGTGACACTTGGAACATTTTATTGCATCTGTTGTGTATGTGACTCTTTTTCCCTCTTTCCGTCTAAAGATACTCAAAGAGGAAGGGTTTTGTGTTTTAATACCTGTCTCAGCGTCTGGCAAATATTAGGTCCTGAATAAATTTTAATATGTGAGTGAATAAATGATGACATATATACTTCAGCATAGGTTTACAAAGGTGGTTGCTTCTTGGGTAAATGAATGTTTGTATTTTGATGAATGGAGACCCTTGTAACTTTTCTAGCATGCTTTTAGGGTTCCTTTGCAACTCATTATTATGAAGTGAGAGGCTTCTTTTGCTGATCACATATCATTTGTCCGAATCTGTTGAAATTAGCAAGCAGATACGGTAGTCAGTAGACTGACAGATTTCAGCGAAATAGTCTTCAGAATCTCATTCCTCAGGTCAAGCAACTTCCATCTTCTTTTTTAATCTAGTCTGTTGACACACAGCAGAGCCCTGGGGATAGGATTCAGAATGAATTTTCTCCAAGGAGGGTGGAAATTGGAAATAAACAGCCCTATTGTACAAAATCCTTTCATACAAGAATGCTCAAAATGGTGTTTTCGAAGGGTAAATTGTCATTTATTTTGCTAGAAATTCTTTACGTCTTTGTTTTTGAAACTAGCATGATGAGAAGATGCAGAGGTTGGTGGCCAGGCTACCCCTGTCCCTTGAAAAGTGAAAGTTCATCTGTGCACTCAGTCTCTTAACAGTAAAGCTGACCCACCCATTACTTGCCGCTGGAAGAAGAATTTTCTTTTGTTCCACTTTGTGCTCTTTTTTCGGAAATAAAGTTTAATCACAAAAGTATTAAGTAATCATATGTTCTGAACAGATTCAATTGTCAATCAAAGTGACATAACAAATGAAATACAAACTCGCAATAAGTAGATTTATTCCCAAGACTGTGAATTAAGTTCAGAATTGCAAGTATGATAATTGGGTGTGTGTTGTGTGTGTGTGTATGTGTGTGTGTGTGTGTGTTGAGGTGAGGGGCAGGAAATCTATGTAGTAGTAGGAAGAAATCTAAAACACGACAGATATCTTGTTGTGTTAGCCCAAAGATGAAGTCACATTTTCTTTTAATTTTTAAATTAACTTAAAAATTAAGAAAGCAGAACCTCCTAATATAGTTAAGCCATTATTTCATTTAGAAATGCCACGGATGTTTTAATAGCATGTACAATGTGTCTTATGACCATTCATACTTCTATCAAGGTCTTTGTTTTTTTTTAAACTACTTTATAAAATTTATTTCTCCTCCCTTTTCCCACCTCCCCTCCCCTCTAGTTGTTGGAAATGCCCGTGTGGTAGGTTTTACTGTGAACTTAGGTTCACAAGCCATTTTTCTTCCTGATTCTTGATGTCTTCAGCTGAGCATGGAATTAAAAGAATTCAGTTCTAAATTACATTCCATTACTTACTTACTTCGGGATTTTCTAGAAGATAAGGATTCAAGTGAAATGGTTTGTTCAGGAGATGGTTCCAGGAAGCACTGGTCGGAGGTGGGGCTGGGAAAGTGAGACCAAGAAGGGAGAGCAGCCGGGACAGGAAAGGTCAGCAGTCGGGCCTATAGGCTGCTCCCAGGGACAGAGTGCACGGGCTGTCTCACAGCTGTCCCATGTGCCAAACGAAAGGTAGGAGTGACTTTTCCCCTATTCCCAGTCACAGGGGGCCGAGGGCTGCTCCAGGGTGACCTCCAGGCAGTCCCGGCCTCCTGGGGCAGCTGGGAGGAGGCCCACAGGCTTGGGACCTTGCTCAGTGCAGGACGTCGTGGGTGTGCACTGGAAACGGCAGTAGGAGGGGACCTGGCCGGGGTCCTGACACTGTCAGCTGTATAATCTCTCAAATTCTGTTATTCCAAGTTGAAGATGTTTCCTGATATGTCCATTTGACATGTCCAGTTCCTTTTGAGTTGTTTATATCCTTCTCTTTGGGTTTGCTCTGAGTTTGTAAATCGGGCAAAAGATGGATATCTTTCACAGTCTCTTCCCCGAGTCTCACACCTTCGTGCCTTTTCTTGAGTTGTCCCCTTCACCCATTCCCAGGGTATTTCCCTCCACATTCTGTAATCTCTGTGTAATCCTTATGAGCCCCTCTGAGCCAATTAATGTGGACCTGAGATGCTGTCCTTGCCCTCCAGGGTCCCCAGAGTTTGATGAATTTGATGTTCCCATGTCATTTTGCTCTTTCCTTTTGCCTTGGCTTCCTCAGATATTAACTTACTCAACAGAAGAAAGTTCTTTCTCACAGCCCCTGCAGGCAGGGCCTCGGAGCACTCTTTGTTCTGTATCTCAGCTGCTAGTTAAGTGGTTTGTGGGCCCTGGGCTGACTGTGCTAGAACAGAAGGTCCATAAAACCTCCTTTTCTTTATCTGATTGGAGTCATTAAGCAGGCCTTTTTTATCCTTCTCATGGAAAAGACTCTCCAAATATGGCCCTTGGCTCCATTTTTTTATCTCAGTGTCTCACTCCAGTTCCAGAGTGCAAAACTACAGTATTTTCAACTGCATTTTCAGAGCAGATTTTAGCGTTTGAAGCTCTGAGATACATTTTAGGCTAGTTCATAGTTAGGCTACTTCAGAACATATATTTGGGATTTCTGGATAATAAGTAATGTTCTCGTAAAAATGGAAAACTTTGACTAATCCTGGAATGGGAATTCTTTGTGAGACTTTATTCCTTAGTGTAACCCCATTCATGTTATTACATTAGGTAATGAAAAGCTGGTGAAGTTTGCATTGGACAGATCAAAATAAACCCGTAGGTAAACCTGAACAAATAGACAGTGAAACATATCCGATTATGCTGAATGTGATTTTCAAGTTTTTAAGAGAACTCAGGGCTCTCAGACTCTTAATTGCATAAGACACTTCAGTAGCTTCCAGCTGCTCCTAGTGTACGGACCATTACGGACCAGGTCCTCCCTGTGGTTTCAAGCTTGCAGCTTAGCATGGTCTGCCCCCGCCACGTCCTCCAGCTTTACGTCCACCCAGACTTCGCTTCCCTGCTCTTGGCTGTTCCCTCTTGTTCCTCTGACCACAGGGCTTTTGCACATGCTGCTCCCGCTGCCTGGAATGCTCCTTTTCCCACTTGTCACCTGGTTAACTCTTTCTCACCCTTCACCTCTTGCTGGTATGTCGCCTCCTCAGGCAAACCCCCTAGTCAGGGCACGATTTCCCCAGTCTACACACTCCATGTGCTTTTCCTTCACAAAGTACACTTTTATATTTACTTTGTGATAGGCTGTGATGATCTTGTTCCCCGCCGTCCCCAGCGCTGAGCCCAGAGTGTGGTATTTCATAGGCAAAAAAAGCAGTTACTATATGGGGATCTGGTACTGTATGATTATGAACGGGACCTGAAATAATGTGCTGCTATAAAGGAAGTTGCTCCCTTCCACTGGAACACATCTCCCACCCTGTCACTCTCCCCCTCGACCTCCGGCATGCTCCCGCCTGGACGCTGCTCCTTCAGGCACCTGCCGCTCACCTCCCTTCCTTCCCGTCTCTACTTCAGTGTCGCTTCTGCAGAGAGGATTTTCCTGACCCCTGCCCCAGACAGCAGCCTCCTTCACGCTCTGTCCCTTTGTCTTTATTTCTTCGTAGCACTTGTCAGCACCGTCTGACATGATGTGGTATTTAAATTGGTTTATCCTGTGTCTCTTCCACTAAAACGCAGACTCCACAACAGCAGAACTGGTGTCTGTTTTGTTCACTGGTGTCTCCCGGGGGCCCAGAGGAGCAAACCAACAGGATCCTAATGAATATTTTGAATTATTTTTTAACACCTTTATTATGGTATGATTCCTGGACTGTAAACTACACGTATTTCAGATGTACAGTTTGATGAATTTTGATAGATGTCCACACCCATGACACCACCACCACAATCAAGATAGCTGACATTTCCAGCACTCCCCAAGAGGTGCAGTTTTCGAATAACAAAGTGAAACTGAGTCCTTCTGGTTTTGTCTTAAAATGTTTGTATTTTGAAAACTTTACTGAAGAGTAATTGGGAAAAATTGACAAATATAATTGTCTGTGTTTAAAGTATGCAACACAATTTTATACACATGTATTGTGTGATGATTACCAAGATCAGGATAATGAACACATCCGTTCCTGACATCTTAACTCCTTTTTGTTCTTGTTCTCAGAACGCTGATGCTCGACGCTCAGGGACTTTTAAGTATATGATAGCACGTTATTCACTCTAGTCCCCATGCTGTACATGAGATCCTCAGAACTCATTCTTCTTCTAACTGAAAATCTGTACCCCTTGACCTCTATCTCCCCATTTTTCCCTCTCCCTAGCCTGTGGCAGCCACCATTCCACTCTCTTGTTTCTATGAAATCAACTCTTTTTTTTCTGTTTTTTTTTTTTGGTCTTTTTCTGTCTGACTTATTTCTATTAGAACAATGTCCTCCAGGTTCATTTGGGTTGTTGCAAATGACAAGATTTCCTTCTTTTTAATGGTTGAGTAATTTTCGAATAATACTCTGTTGTGTGTGTGTGTATTTATATATCACATTCTGTGTTTCAATGTGATTAAAAATCCATGTGCATTTTTATCAGTCTCTAAACCCCTAACATTTTTTTCCCGTTTTCGGTTTTATTATGTAGAATTATTACAGTTCGACTGCATATACACATTATATTGCATGTAAATACATA